ATCTACTTCTGGCTTCGATAAGGAATGTGCTTGTCAGTGGCCTGCTAAAGCAGGGCCACACTCAAACGCTGAGAACCTCGGGCAATGGCAGAGGGCAGCAGATCGAGGACGTCGTCATTTTTGATTTCAAGGCAGACCTCGAGCTGCTGGTTTTTGTCCTAGAAACCTGTTGTCCGAAGTTCAGCCGTATGGACCAGATTCCAGAAGAGCTGAACGCCTCTGATCTGGGCGGATGTAGCCCTTTATATTTGATGGCCGAAGAAACAAGGCAGCCTACTAGCAATTCAGCTGGGCAAGCTCTGCCCGTGCCTGCGGAACGTCAACAAAGTTTGCAGTTACCACTTGCTGAACCGCGCTGAATGGCAGGATCCCCACTGGCAAGGACTTGGATACGTTCCACCCATGAGCCCATGATGCCTAAGCACCGCACAAGCTGGATGCGCCTGTGTTTCTCTGCTGCCTCGAAATCGGTCACCATAGGCTTCCATGTTCAAAAAATGTCCTTTGAGATGGTGGCCCCTAGGCAATGGCACAGCTGCGCACTACCGCACTGTGTTCGGAATGTAGAACATCGAATATGCAAAAATATGTTGCTGTATGCTGGGATATACTAAACACACCAGTCTCAGTGCAGACCCGGGCCTCGTCGCGCTGCAAGGCCTCGGGCCCCAGAACGGCCTGACCGGAAAAAAGTCGCATGCAGCGGCGCTGACAAAGAAGCCGTGGCTGTGAAGGCAGATGCCAAAGCAGCGAGCTGTACTTTATGTACGTGTCGCGTGGCACCCGGCGTGTTGGAGTTTCAGCGGCTTGGCTAATCGAATAACGCAACCTGCGAATACTTGCCGTCGCTTGAGCCAAAACGATTTCTCCTGTTCCATCTGCATGCAAGCGGTGTCAAGACAGTCTGGCCGAGGCATGCGTCGGGCAAGGAACTATCAAGTGAAGATGCGATCCGTCCTCGCCTAGTTCCCGAATCCACATCTATACCCCGAAAGCTTGGCTCCGGACTCTTTGCTGGACGAAGACACTGCACTAACTCAGGCTTTGGGTCTAGAGTTTGAGAGCTCTTGTTGGCAGTGGCGGTTGTTTGCCAGGAGTTCGGCAATGCGCACGTTCATGGTCAAGAATGTGTTTGTCGGTCGTTTACCTTCGCTGTTCGGAGGTTCCTCTCTTCCGATCACTTCGACGGCCAGAGACGACTCTAAACGTTTTTGCTGATTGGGGCCTACCTTGGAAAAGAGCGGTAGTGCGAAGCAGGCCGCCTGGAACAGCTCCTGGGCGCAGAGCTGCAACCTCGGCACTCGGTTCGAAGCTGAGTGTAGTGGACCACAATGTCTCGGGGATATTGGCTCTTTGCGGGGCCGTGATCATCTCTCTTGAACAACCGCGCATCACTGCTGACAAAAGCACACAACCAAATATCAGTCTGGCCGACAAAGGGATAGGAATGATGAGGTTGGAGGTGCACGTGCGACCCCACTCAATCTACCCTGACTGTACCGGCTGCAGGTGAACTGACGTCGCACAGCGTGGGACCAGATGTGGCTTTACTTTACGCTACTTTCTGAGCAGGACAACAATTCCCAAGGGAACATCCAAACGTAAACGTGCCAAAATCAGTGAGTGCCCCCCCCCCCCCAGAGGGCGATTCTAGCTTCTAGGAGTCCTGCACGCCCAGCTCCTTGGCGGAGCCGAGGATCGTGTGCGTCTTGCCGCTGCCGGTTTGGCCGTAAGCGAAGACCTTCCCACTTTGGTGGTTTTGGAAGCGGAGGGATAGGAACACAGGAGTTTTGTTGTCTTTGATCCTCTAGCCGGACAGAAGGTGCTTACCAGATCATGCTCTGCATCTCAATGTGCTGCGACACCTGGTAATGAGAAGAACCTGGAACCTAAACGTGAATCAGGTTGCAACTAAAACCCTCCATGAGCACCGAGCAGTCTCTTGAAACCCACGCGCTGTGCCCGCGATGACCTCGGGCCTGCAGTTTCGCAACTGGAGCTACAGGACGCGCTGGCCGGTGCTCGGGGTATCCTGTTCGTAGCTTTACGAGTTCCGGAAGGAAGGGCATCTACAAGCCAGGGGAAGCTCCGAAGGTCCTTGCTCGGTGGAGCCTCTACGGCCTGGGCCTTGAGGTGAATCGCCAGAGCAACATGCGTGTTTTGCATGGTGCGCACTATGCGCCCACACCCATCGCAAGACAGCATCGCACACCGTCGAGACTCTAAGTCACATGCCGCTTCCTCAGGCCCTCCCACTCTTTTCAGAAGCCGGCTCAAGCCAGGAAATGGTCAATCCAAGTTTGAAGCCACTCTGTGCAACATCCTGCGCTTCTGTCCCACTGACTGGCCGCGCTCTGCACAAGCCACTCCACTGACCTCAGAGGTTACCAGGCTTGGTGTTTTTGCTTCGGGCTTAGACTTGACGGCAGTTTGGCAAGAGCAAACGCTTGTGCACCTTTGGAGGATTAAAAAAACAGGAACTGCTGGTCCCTCTCGCCTGCTAAACATCATGCCTACACTCTCTCAGGCGCCCTCTGTCAACCTCTTTTTGCACGCTGTGGGCAGTCCACGTTTGGGGAATGCTTCTTCTGGCGACCCCACTGAAACTGTAGCATACAAAATCCTGGGCTTTAATGATGCCATACGTATCACTCCAGCTCTTCTTCTTCAGCTTTGACCTCGGCTTTCTTATCTTTCTTACCCTTTCGCTCAGGCATGGTCCAGTGATCGAACTGGAGCGTGTTTCCCTTCAGCTCGCTGCCGTCTAGTGAAGAAATGACAGTGAGAACGTCAGCCTCCTGTTCAAACGCGAGGATCCCCGTGGATCGGTGAATATGAGTGAGCTTGGGCTTGGCGATGACCGCGACATGGCCCTCCAGCTCCTTCCATGAGGTGTTTTCCGACAAGCCTCCGATCCAGACCTTCTGTGCCGCGGAGAAAGCTGCCAGCTTCTCCTTCATCTTGTCATCTCCCTTGCCAGACTTGCCCTTCGTGGCCTTGCCTGTGCCCTTGGCAACCTTGCCCTTCCCTGCTGCACGCTGCTTGGGGAGGGGCATCTTTTTCACGAGCTTCCCCATAGGCTTCCACGCCTCCTTCGGGTCCTTGGGATCCTTCGGAGCCTTCGCCTTAGCCTTCTCTTTCTCGGCCCTCTCGGTCTTGGGCTTCTGGACCCAGACATCAACCTCCAGGACTCCGCCCTTCAGCTCTGAGCCGTTTAAGGAAGCTACGGCCGTCTCGACGTCCTCGACGCTCCCGTAGGCGACAACTGCTGTGCCTCCCTTCATAATATCTGTGCAAGTAGGCTTTGAAACGGTTGCAAAGTGCTTTTCGACGTCTTTCCAGGTCGTGCCTTCTGCAAGACCTCCAACCCAAACCTTTAGCGATGGGTCAGTCCCCCGTAGCTTCTGCGCAAACTTGGACAAGGGCTTCTTGAGCTGTCCAGGCTGTCCCTGCCAGCTCTGCCCCTTCTGACTCCAGCTTTGCTGCCGCCTCCCCAAGCCTGAGGAAGCCAGCACATCGGCCAGGTTGGCATTCTCGGGGATGAAGACCCATGCCCCACGGCCTGCCCCCTTATCCCCCTTGCCCCGAGGCGCTGGGAGGGTCTTGGTGATAACTCTTCGCACAAGAGTGACCTGCTTCACCATCCCGCGGGCTCTTGGAATCAGCTATGAGGTCCTAGCCTTGAGGCAACCTGGCTACATTGACTGACTGCTTCCTGCCACATGACAGCTACCTCTTCTGCCAGAAGACCCATGATCCGAGCCCCTGGCCGGAGGAGCTTGTCGAACAAATCCAGGTGGTGCTCAGCTGAACCGAGCTCGGTGACACTCCACGCTCTGCTCTCCCTGTGAAGCTGTCTGTGCCGGAATTTCGGTGATTGCTGCTACAGCTTATTGTTGCCGTTTGTGTCTGTACTCCATGCTGGTTCGTCCATGCCACCGCTATTCAATCCTCGTCTAGTGGCGCTTGCGATCAGGTGCACCTGTGCCTGCTTAGAGACTTCAAGGACGATAGGGCGATACTTCACACAGGGGTGAGTTACTCCATCGGCACATGACGGACCATCGGAGTGTCATCTCCGAGACAGCACAGCTGCAAGACTGCTAATTTCTTAATTACACCTGCAGCCAGCCCCGAAGGGAGAACAACAAGTGCTCCTAAAAAATGGTACTGCTGCTTTCATAGGGATGGCTCGGATATCGGTCCTTTCCATAGAAATGTGCATTGCTGGGTCTTGGTGATGTCGCCTTATGCTCATGCCACTCCTATTTGCCGCACTTGCTTATGGCAGTGTTGCGTGCATTGCCCGCACCCACTTCATGGTGACTCTACCTTTTTAGCTCTTCATATGATTCCAGAAGCTAACGGGTTCGGGACAACTCTGGCCTTCTAGCCAGGCTCACATTCCAGACCGAGTTATGACCTGAACGCTGTTCAGGGGCTGGCTTTCGGTGGACTTTACGCGCACTGCCAGCATCGTGGCTCGCCCGTCAAACATCTACTAGAAGACCCGCGGGCAGCAAAGGTCCGAAACACATCCGTGAGGAACAAACCTCTATGACGTGCTTTCTGCACTGAACACCACGCTGACACCTTGGAGCTGAAAATGTAACATCAGTACATGAGGCAGGTCTCGCCACCACCAAAAGCTGACTGCTTGAATGAAGCAAGCAAGGGTAAAACAATACCAGCAATGACACTCCCGACTGCGAAGGGGTCTCCTGAATTATCGCATGCCCGCAGAGACCGCGATCACGAGGAAAAGGATCATCGGCCGTCCCCTTGTCCTGGAGATCTGGAAACAAGAACCCAATGTTACCGCTAAGCGGCCTTACGTGCCTGTTCCTTGACACAGAAAACACTGGCTGGAAACAACAACTAATTAATCAGGTACAAGACCTCCATAATTCACCAATTTTACTACTTGAAGATGTTACCGCGTGACGCCCCCACTCTAAGCTTCGTACCCGTCCTCACGGCCCAATGCCAGGCCGAAAGGCTCACGCGCCCCCGACCACCCGAGCCTTCACTTCGGAAGCAACTGCTATGCCATGCAAAAAAAAGGGTCTATGTCCACGTGCACTTATCATCATGAACTGGCAAGCCTTGCGCATGCCTAGAACCTGTCGCCTGTATGTGGTTTGACTACATACAAGCAGAAATAAGCACCCACTTGTTCAGTTTGTACATGCTTTCTGGATTCGTACACCTGATCATGCGTACTTCTCTTGGCAACCCAGGTTCGTCCATATACATGTATGCCTGCAAGATAAGTAGGTGGAAATAGACACCAAGGAAATAGGCAAGCCCATCCAAAGTCCAACGGGCCAAGCCTTGGAAGCTTGAAATGACTGACTCCTCTGCAACATGCATACAAGATCGCTGCAGTTTCGCGTGCTCGCTACACCAAAACAGTGCCACCGGCATGTCAATCGGAGGAACAAACCGGTGCTCAGAACAGCTGCACGTTGAGCCATTAACATCAAAATCTCAACTGGACTCCAACCCCTGCCAAGGCACGGGTGCCTGGGTCAACACAGACAGGGTCGCACTGTGGGAGCCTTTCTTGTCCTTGCAGACAGGATGCATCGTCTGAGAAGGGACTGTGCTTTGCCAAGTTGGGTGTGAAACGTTTGGAAAGACAGGCTTGCCTTTTGACCTTGAATTCACGGCAAATCATGAAACTGCGAGCCGTAGCTAAAGCAACACATGGGCGAGTATGTGTCCAATGTTGTGTTTCTGAAGCAACAGCCTGTCACCTGTCCAATTTACGCTCTCACAACTCGGCACTGCCAGATGAGGTCTCTCAACCTGTCCGTTCAAAGTACCGCACTGTCAAGAAACCAGGCAGTTTTACGGGTTCCTTGGGATACACTGGCAGTTCGGAACTTTTGCAAACCGACGAGCTCCCGACCACAACTCTGGCTGTTTTACGATCTAGCCGACCGTCCTTCTTCGCAGCAACTTGTGCAGCGGTCTTGCCTGCCGGATGCAAAAGTGCAAGGTTTGGGTGCGTACACGCTTCAGCTCCCATCCTGCTGCAGCTACGGCAAGCTCTCCCGCCCTATCCAAGCCTGAGCCCCCAAACCGCCCCCCCAAAGAAGGGCCTCCCGAGTTCTTCTTGGCCACGTCAGCGCCTGCCTTCACAAGCTGATCCACCTGTGAGAACTTTCCAAGCAGGGCTTTATGTTTAGTAGGTTGACGAGGTGTCCACCGAAGCTCTACCCACCATCTTGACATGCCTCTCCGGGGGCCACGCACAACGTCATGATCACGTGATTGGGCACTCTCTGCCAGAATCTCAAGCTCATAAGGGGCCTCTGCCCCAACCACCCAAGAGTTTTGGCAGAGTTGCTCGTTACTGGGGTCGTTGCCATGTGTGCATCGCCCAGCTCGGCTGCCTGCGTCGTGCTGTCACACTGCATGACACTGCCTCCGTGTTGAAAAATGTCCAATGTCGTCCATTTCATCTGCAGCCACTAACCCATTGCACGTGTCTTGCATGTTCCAGAAGATCGCAGCTGCTTCACCTAAGTTTGAGAGCAGTTCTTGTGCAGTAGACGATTCCAGATGCTCACATGCCGTCTCTGCAAGCTGAACCGTGCACCCCAGCACCCCAGCCTTGTGGAGCGGATATGTGCTGCTCATGAAGGACTTCTTGACACCTCATCAGTAGAAGACGAATGAATTAAGCAAGATGTCTCAGACACACTTCGACCGACCTGATCAGCGACCACCCAAAACAGAGAAGAGTGATTCACTCCTTGGGCCCACAAATCAGGGCGATGTACCCCTTGCCGAACAACTGCCCAGCTAGGCTCTTTCAAGACATGCTTTCAAGATCAACTCCTCCTTTAATGGCTTTTTTCATTCCTCAGTGACACTGGAGCCCAATTTCGTAGCTTGAATTGTCAGCAATAGGCAGAAAATGAGGATACTCCTGAAGGTTCCCGAATACAAATTCATTTACAGCATACAGCCTCGGTTTGATTCTACAGTCCCCTGTACCCGAACAGCACGTCCACCTTTGGAAACTTCCAATCAACCCTTGGCCACCCAGCCGTTGATGGAGCTGAATCCGTGCTGCTTCAGGAAGCTCGCCACCTCGCGCTGCCGCTCCTTCTTGGGGTTCCAGGATCATAGGGAGGCCGAGTTTCACGGCCGCCATACCATAGCGCTCCGCCCGGCCAAGGGTGTTGCTTTGGGCGAAACGCCCATGGCGATTAGGCGTCCCGTGTTCAAAAGCTTGGCATGTAATGCTAAACCCTCTGCCTCCCAAAGTGATCAGTCCTCGTGTTCTCGTTCAGCTTGCTCCTGTGCCCTCCGGCCTTAAGACCAGCAAGAAAGCTGTTGCAGACTGCATTATCCTACTTTTGCTGGACTTCTCAAGCTGACGTAGGGAAGGTGAGACAGACATAGACTGATCCTGATGCAGAGTTTGCAGGTGGGTTCCGGACGGGCTTGCTCCTTCTCCTGGCACGAAAACCGACATGCTGTGGCGTTGGGACCGACTCTAACACCGCACAGTTCAGTGAGCTCGTTTTCTTTGAAGCCTTCAGCCTCCTCCGTCCAAGCAGTCCGGGCAGTGAACACCCACACAAGGCGCATGGCAGAATGTAAACATACGGGTGACAACCCTTTGCAGCACCCTATACTACTTAGTGAGGCCACCCCGAAATAACCTGTATAATATAATATAATGGAAACACATATATATATATATACATATATGTACATATATATATATATATGTATGCTGAAGTATGGCCCTCGGCCCAAGGGGCGCGGCCTCTGCCGCTCGGCGCTCGGCTTCGAGCCGCTCCTGCTCCTCCGCCTCGCGCCTTTGATACAAGCTCCGTCAATTGCATTCCAGAAAGGGAGAATGGCGTTCTACGTGGTTCAGTGCCGTCTGGTACCCTCCAATGCTCTGAAATCTAACAAACATCTATCAGAGCTTATCGCGGCCTCTAGCATTCCTGCAGCTGGACTCCGATTGTGTTCATTTCTACGGGCGCAGGCCCAAGTAGCGTCCTCTAAGCAGGAGTTGCTCATTCGAGTTCGAGCCAAAGTTTGCGAGGACTCTCCTGGAGCTGTGCACTGGCCCGAACACGCCACGCGGAGCGCGAGTTCGGGGCAAATTTCACGGAGACTGCATGTTGGGCAGCATGCTGGCCTTCGAGCACCGAGCGATCAGGGCAGATAATCGTCATCATCATCATCAGCAGCGTCTTGGATAGTAACAGTGACTTAAGTCCAAAGTTGTTGGTGCCTGTATTTTGTTTTCAATCATTCATCCATGAGTAATTTGTCTCCTTGTTTCTGGGAGTCTGGGAGTATCCTCAAGCCCCAAAGCCAACAGTGCTTTCACCTGCCGTCCAAAAGGCTGCTCCCGGAGTTTCTGCTCCAGCTGAGCCTGGCGAGCAGCCTCGAGTTTGCGGCTCTCGCAACGCGGACACAGCCAGACGTGGTCCGATTTAGGGTTTCGTTCGGGTGTCGGGTTTCGGATCTAAGGAAGGCTGTTCACGGAGTTCATGGAACTTGGCATGCCTACATCTGCCCGCTCGACGTGGCAAACAGGACGCACATGGCACATGAGCCCGGCAGAGTCTCCTCACGGAGTTTCTGAAACCGACCCGAACCTGAAACCTCCGAGCTCTATGTAAACACGAGGACCTTGCTTGCACACCTGCAGCATCCGAGCTTTAGCACTGGGCTGAAGTCTAGCCAACCCTACACCCTTTTTGCACAAGGGACTCGACTGCTGCCCTTACTGCCCAGCTTGATACACCCTAAACCCCCAAAACCCTCGACTCCCAAACCCTAAACCCTAAGACCCTAAACCCTAAAACCCTAAGACCCTAAACCCCCCAAAACCCCTCAAAACTCCCAAATGTGGCCTCCGCGGCCTCCTGTGCCGCTCGTCGGGCCTCCTCGGCACGTTGCTGCTCGGCCTCCGTCGGGGGTACAGGAAATCTAAGGGCCTGAAGAAGTGCCATAGGTCTCCCATAAAAGGGGTTTCTTGAGAGGAATCTGGGTATTTAGGGTGTAAGTTAAGGCCTCACGTAATCATTTTTCGGCTTTGGACTCCACTCCACTTGGTGAACAGGGCGATCCTGTCGAGGATTGCATGACAAAAGACCTGACCATACAGGCCAACATGTGCTGAGGCAGGTATTCTCATGGATCACTCTGGCCAGTATAGAAATCCTGAGATGCCCCCGCACAGGCTCCAAAGGGTTTTCGAGGGATGTGTGGGCTCCTCTCCGAGATCCATTTGGACACCCCCGCCTGCTCCTCCGCTTTCTGCCGCGCTTCTTCCTCGGCCTGCCGTCGGACCATGGCCTGGTCGGGCGGCTGATCATACATAATTATGTGTATGTAGATATATATATATATAGAGAGAGAGTATTGACTTATTTATTCATTTAAATGTTCATTAGCATCTATACTTATAAGTACATATATATATATATTTATTTATTTATTTACTTACATTTATGCATTTATGCTTATTATTATCATTATGACTATTACTATCGGTACTAATATTCTTATTACATATTACTAATTATGAAAATACGTACCTAATTGCTTGTTGAGTCATTTGACAAATTGGTATAGATATAGACATAGATGTAGCAGCCCCAACCAAGACATCAACCGCACGACCGAACTCAACGGAGCTTCCCGGGTCTTCGCGTGGCGCGCCTCGGGTTTGTGCCATGTTGACAAAAGGGTCTTAAGTTTTTTTAGGGTTTAGGGTTTCCGGCGCTCACACTCGGACAATCCAGGCGAGGCATGTCGGTTCGCGTGTCTCAGATGCGAAACAAGTGGTCTGCGATCATGCTGCCATGCAACAAGTGCCCCACAGCTGCTAAGCTTATCGGCACTTGACATCCATCACAGTCCATTGGAGCAGGGGTACAGAAGCAAACCTGGCCAATTTTTACACAGGAGATGCCAATACAAGAAACTGAGAAGAACGGTGCGTCTCCGCAAGTGACCTGGAAGCCGCATACATTGAACTGCAAGCCCTGTCTGCATCTAAACGTCATGCTTAGCAAGGAAAGCACCCAGAGGCCGCCTCCACATCCACTTTTACAGTGCTGGTGGCTTGCTCCTGCCGTGCGCACGTGGAGCTGCAGTCCATGCCGAACCTCAGCACACAGAAGAGTACTGCAGAGAAGAATGACAGGGGTTGTGGCGAATGGAATGGAACTGGCGATCATGTTGATGCTGATGTTGGTGAGCTTGAAGAGGATACTGATCCTGATGCTTTTGCTGATGGTGACGGCAGTAGTCCCAGAGGCGGAGGCGAAGATCAAGGCGGCTAAGACCAGGATTAGGATGGAGGCACAACTAAAAGGATGGTGCGGTCTTCTTCGTGAGCGAAGGACTCAGAAGCCATATTCCTTGTGGTGGGATAGCATACGGTCCTTGTTACATCATTATATCCTCGGCTTATGTTGAGGCCGGTCTAGCAGGGTTAAACCCATGCGCTGCACTAGCCCTCAACCCTCACATACAAGGCAGTGGTGTAGTTTTTGGGCTCGACCGGCGCAAAGTTTGGCAGAATTTAGGAGCAGATCATCCGGATAGTCTCGACAACTTTCACACCAGTCCGCTGCATCTGAGGTGGCGGCATCGCGGGCGATACAGAAGAAAGCACCTGTTCCGCAAGGATTCACACATGCGGCCGTCGAGACATCCGTCTGCGCATCTTTGCACTGTGCAACCTGCAGAGCGCTGCCGTCGCCTGGCAAGAGGCTGAGAGGCCGAGGCGAGGCACGCGGAGCTCTTGGAACACTTGAGCCGATCTTGCAGAGTCGGCACTGCTCCAGTCTCTGGTTCCAGACCAAGCACGGCAGGATAGTCGTAGCTCTGCTATGTCTGCTATGTTCTGTGACACGGCAGCGGTTATATCGTTCATATATCGTTCAGGTCTCAAGGACTGAAGTTGGAGCTTGGGGCTTAGGCTCCTGTTCTTCCGATCCCGAAGCCTCGGAGAGTCGGCTCGCACAAAGCATTCTGGGCCCACGGGCAATCGCAGCGAGCCGTAGAGCTGTGCCGTGGTCTCCCGGGGCCCAACCTCACGTCACAGGGCTGCCCGGGCCTGCGGATTTCGTGACTCTGATGGTTGCATCGCTGCGGAAAAGCCCCAGCCACCGCACATGCAAGACAACCAACGCTCTCACCGACTTCGGGTCTGACGGGGCCCTCGTCGGGGCGTAGCAAGTTTCTGTTGTGGGAAGTCGATCCGCAGCTTTCCACGCAGTGGCCCCCTGACGAAATGCGATCGCCCATAAATCTGATTCAATCCTCCCGCGGCACACAAGGAGCCGGCGACTCGGGAGAACTGGTGCTCCTCCACATGGCAGGTCTTGGCCTCGGGACGGCAAAGCTCCGAAAAGTTCATGAACCGAAACAAAAAGTTGCTACTGCAGTTTCGAGATATTCGGTTTTGAGCTGTGGAAGTTGATGTCGTAACGCGACAGAGGTGGCGAGGAAGGGGAAGTATACTAGCGATCAAGCACTTCACTTCGCCGTGAAATTCTGCCGAAGCCATACTAGGTCCCAGTGCCGTCTTCGGCGAACACGGAAGAGGCGGTGCACCTCTAGCAAAAGCAAAGCACCCTCTGTCCAGTCGGTAACGGTCACTTTCTGCTGCAGAAGACCGGCAAACCCAATACTTGCCACTTATCTGACATACCTATTCCGAGCAACTCACGATGAGTAGAATGGTCGAAGTCAGGCTCTGCCATCAAAGAACCGAACCCCGGAAAATTGTGACTCGCTCTTGCCTGTCAGGTGGCTCGCATGCAAACATGTGCGGACTCATAGTTTGTTCGTTGCTCTCAGTGGAATGCACCCTGAGACACTTCAACTGAAACTCCAGATCCTGAAATCATATCCAGAGCCGGAGCCCTGCAACCCATCGGGCGCGTGCTCTCTGGGAAGTGGCCGAGCAATTTGCTGCAGTCCTCCTGGGTAGGTAAGGCATCGGTTGATGAAGCTGGCTCTCCGAGATCTGATTTGGTGCCTTACTTATTCATTCGTCCTCAATTGCACATATCCTACGAATGTCACAGCTCGGCGGACCGGTGAGGGTTTGATGATTCAGCACGTCTCGATCTTCGAGCGCTGTGCTCATGTTTTGGGCGATGCTCTGCGGGTTTGCGAGGTTGATTCCATGTTGAATGCCCGAACAATCCGAGATCAACACGACCTCAACACTTCATCAGCCGCCGCCTCCATCCTGAATCATCAACCGTAGCTATCGCAGGCCTCATCCACGGAGTAGGCCAGCTGGACGGTTTGGTCTATCGGAGGGCGCAACCGCACCTTAACACCAGACATGATTTCGCGCTGGCTTTGGGATTCCGGCTCGTGCAAATACCGGGCTGCCCTTTTGCATGTCTTTCCGGAAAGCTGCCACCGAGCTGTCGCCACTGATTGGTGTGTGAGGAAAGCAGATGCACTTGATGCTGGAATGTGTGTCTATCCGACGAGTACCATGGTAGAAGAAACACCTGTCCGTTTGCCAATGCTGCGGCGCTAGCCCGGAAATAGCAGGGAAGCGAGACAGGACTTCCTTCCAGCGTTGGACGCCGGACTGTTAGGCTTTCCAATGTGTTGAGGCTCACGTCTCGAATGACTTCGTTCAAGTGCCATCGCATTGCTTCATGACCCAGACTATGGGACGGAGGGCAAGAATCACCGGAACAGCCGAAAGCTTCAACAGATAGTCCTTTCGATGAGCGCCAAGCCCAAACAAAAGCAAGGCGCGGCTCGAAAACGAGCAGAAAAACAAACCATGTTGCTCAGATATGCAGGGCCGTGGCATGCGGTTGACATATCTGAAAAAATTGGTTGTGTAGATGCGGCGATGCCGCGCGGCCACACGGCACGTTCTTCGAACACTTATGCTTCCGGGCCACACTGTATTGCACCGGCAGACCGTGATCTCGGCCGGATGCACCCAGCTGTTCAGGTGTGTCCGGTGCCCTGTCATTTTTCTTGGCAAGCATCCGGCCGGCACTGTCTGCGTAGTAATGTCTTCTCTGCGGACAGTGCCGGGTCAGTGCCCTCACGAGCTTCTGTGACGGTACCCGGTGAAGCACATCCGTGGCTGTGCCTGTGCTTTCTGTTGACTCCCAGTTGCTCCATGCGCTCCTGATGTTCCAGCAGATAGGGGCGAAGCAATTCAAAGCTTGGGAGGTGCATGCCGGGGCAGATGCACATGGGCACCACGCGGCACAAACTCTGAAGTTGGCAGACCGCACTGAGACCACCCTGCGCCCTAGCAACAAAATCAGTCTCGCGGCACTCGCCAACAGCGTCGTCCTCGTCGGCTTCCGGTCAAGGTGCAAGGTGGGAAGGCCGCTTCTGCTGTAGTCAACGAGGGCTCTCCCGTCATCACCCGGGAAACACAGCAGCCCTGCTCGTCTGAGGATATACGCCTTGCAGCGGACGGGGGTGCCATGGCTGAGAACTGGCGGCCGAAGGTTCTGCACGTCTGAAGAAGGACCTGAGGTACAGCGAGTTCGAGATTCTACACCGCGGTGTGCGGCCCAGTGGAGCGGCACGTCACCGTCTCTGTCCCGCACGTCCTTGTCGACGCCAGCGCTGAGGCGCGGCCGCGTAGTCCGAGCCCCAGCCATCCCGATGACAAGGAGGAGCGCCTCCTCGCTTCTCTCTTGGCAGCAGCTCACCGCAAAGGCGGCACAGCTGGCGCACCGATCTCTACATCGCGGATCCGGTGACGTGTGCCGCACAGGTGACCGGATCCACGATGTAGAGATCGGTGCGCCAGACGAACTCTCTCAAGGAAACGAAAGCGGCGATCTTGCCACCAGAGATGACGAGGTTCACCAACAGCATCCCCGAGTACTGCTGGAATACCACCATGGCAATGACTGCCAGCAGTCGCACGTACACCTCAATGGTAACACTTGGGCCACTTGGGCTTTTATCTCTGGGCGGAAACCCGGGCACCTCAAATCTTATGCCGGCCTCATCGATTCGTTGAATTTCCTGTCAAGCTTTCATGGACTCGAACGATGATGGCCATATTTCCTCACAAGTTCAGCCTGCAAGCCTTATCAAGCGGCCACACAGCGGAATGCTTTTGCTCAGCCGGCCCAAAGGATGATGCTGGAAGTCTTTCGGCAAGCACTCTCTAAGACTCACAAGCCACGCTGGAAAGCTTGGCCAAAACTTTGCTGCAAGTCGACGACCCATCAGAGAAGCCGGAAATCAAAGGACAGTCTGGTCTATTAACGGCATGAAATTCCATCAGACCCGGTGGTCGGGCACGGGAATGGTTGTGTTGTGGGACGTTGACTGGCGCAAACTGGCATAGATGCAACCGGGGTTGTGGCGTTGGGTGTGGATCCACGCTTCATTGATGGCTCGTTGACTGCAGCAGCTCATGAGAGTTCCCGAAAAAACAGAGAGGGAGTTGCGGAGCTGGGGCCCGGCTAATAATTAAGAACACCTCAGGTCACTCAGCCGCCCGACTTTCAGAAACTCCCGGACACGTCACACCTGTAGGTCGGTAGGCTTCAAACTGTCTACTGTACCCGCCCATGGTGGCGCTGCAGGTTTGCAGGCTTGCCGGGAGCAGCAGGCTAGTGCCATTCTCGGGGCGGCAGACGCCAAAACGAAACTTGCGCGATTTCGGACCGACAGCTTCAGAGGTGGGTCTGTGCTTAAGGCCTTGCATGTAAACTTCTCGGATGCAGCGACCCACTTCCCTCCATGGAGGAATAAAGCAACTGCATCAGGAGTGGCAATGATACTCCGGATATGAAGATACCGCCAGTAGCTATCATATGCACACGGGTATTCGAGGAGAACAAAGCGAGAACTGCAATCAGGGCAATGAAATGCTAAGTAGCAGTGAATCTGGCATCTGCTTGCTGCTTCGGCGATAGGCATGCGCATGCCTTGTTGTGGGAAAACTGCCCCCGCTTTGGTGAGGGCGGCACAATTCCATGAGGATATCAGGTCATGGCCCTAAACATCCCTAAACCCTAAGCCATCCTCAACCGTAATCTCAACCCCTAAGTGAGCTCGGTTCAGCTGTTTGACCTGAGATGCCTCGCTCAGGATTCCATAAAGGAGTTACTCTCTATGCCAGCACTTCGGCGTCCACGGAACCTCAGTCTTCACAGCAACTCCTGAAACTACTGGCTCGGCAGGGTGGTCCTTGAAGGCCTCGAAGCTGAAGGCAAGGCCCCGGTGAGAAGTGAGTCTTCCATCCCTGTGCTGGGAGCCCCACCCTGATCGGCCAGGAATGCATCACACCGATTGCAGACCCCACAGGATCGTAAAGACTCCCTCCAGTCTTCCGGATCCCGCCCAAAAACGCACACCAAAATCCTTTATGAACCAAGTCGCCGGGGGTGCCCTCAGAGGCCTGCATTTCCATGAGCCTCCCGAAGCTGCAAGACTCCGGCTCCCCCAAACTCGGTGGCTTTTCAGGGACTCAGTCGTACTCAAGTGCTTCAACCGGAAAGTGGAAACCCAAAGCTTGAAAGCTCAGGGCTGGTGGCTCAAGTCCGGTATCGCGAGAAGCAGTGAGGGCGGCCGAATCACAGCATGTCCGTCTGGCTTCTGCATCCCTGTTCCCTTTCTTGCTGATTGGGTGGGAACGCCGGGGCAGTGGAATACCTGGCATTCTGTGCCGGCCTCGTCAAGCCCCGGCAAACTGATGAACTCCTCTTCTGGGCTTGCCTAGCTCTCTGCTGAACCCCACCCCCTGCACTGTGCGGGTGCCTCGTCACGCGCTTAGCAAAATCCCCGGGGTCTTCAATGGTGTAGCCGCCGATCAAAGCCTCGGATCAACTTCGTAGGGCCAACAGCCGGCATACCGAACGAAGCACAAGCTCCAGCGCAGACCCTCAAGTCCAAACTGGACATCACATGCTCTCATGCTGAACTTGGGCGCTGACTGCTGTCTCATATACCATCATCACCTCGGCTTAAGCTGTGGTCTGAGAGAAAGTACGCACATTGCTCACAGTAACCTGCGATGCGGTGACAAGTGTGGCCAAGTCGCCATGTCCTCTGTCTCCGCAGCTTCGGGCTGGGTCTCCATTGCATTCTTGAGCGCTTTGATCACATTGTGCTGCGGATTGATCTCCAGGATGGCCTGGCTTCGCGAACCAATCCTGGGTTCAAGGGGAGAAATGCCCCTCTGCAACGATTTCGGCGAGAAGACGACGGCTCTTGCTTTCAGGACATGCTGCAGCATCGAGAGTTTACAAGTGGCACCAAGACCATCTACATCGGCCATCCATGGGGACACTGGCTCTGGATTCCCAGGCCAAGAGACGCGAAAGCACTGTCTGACGCCGATGACGTGGTCCTTGGTCTCATCATCTCGTACAAGCAAACGAAAACGGTTAACTCCCGGCTTTCAGTTCAAGGCTTCGAATGTTGGACTGCTTTTGAGTCGCCCGGTACCTGCCCGACTAACAGCATCCAAAAGGCTGGGACTTCATGTACCTCTGCATCATCGGTGACATGCCCCACTCACCTGGGTCCGCGGGGATAGGCAGCACAGGTCCAAGCTTGACGAAGTGCCTGAAGATCCAACTTCTGAAATTCGTCAGCAACACTCGGGATGGACGTGCAGTCCAGCAGCCCTGCACCAGGGTTGCCATGGACTCAACCAGTCGATCCTCGGAGCACTCCAAGTATCCTAACAGTTTGAACGAAAGCACAAGCACATGGTCTCGATTCACACCTTTGACGGAAGTGCATCTGTTACAGACTGGCCGAATGAGACTCAGCCAAGCAGCTGACACCTGCACCTTCTGCACTCGTTCGCCCAGCTGCTTCTTGAGCCATGTGGCCAGGTCCTCGTACTCTTTCACCTTGTCCTGGGCGCCGCTATCACAGAACGATTCTCGTTGCTTTGGAGCTCCGGAGAATCAAATCACAGATCACACACGAGGACGTGAGGCCTGTTTCCTGCGACAGCTAAGGCATCACGGTGTGATCGCACACTATGTCTGCGCTTGGGTCCCTCCAGCACTTCACAAGTTGGCGATCCACGCTTTACACAGCACATGCTGTAAAGTGAGAATATGGAATGCCACGCTGTCGGTCGTCTTCGGTACATGAAGCAGAACCCCAGCTCCCTGAAGTATCCAGAGCTAAAGTTGTTGGGGTGAGGCACATGTCAAAACTACCTCGTAAATCAGGCCCCTCATCCAAATGCATTCCCACTGAACCTCAAAGAACCACAACGATTCTACTCCGGGTGCCACGGATAGCGGAATTTCAAAACACCCAGACCCAGACGGTCCAAGCTCCTCCATGTCCTTCTTCTCATCTTCGCTCTTGTCCAGGTCGAGGCCGGCCTAGCAGAGAAGTGCATTTGGGCCACAAGCGCCTTAGACCCGGAATCTCTTTCAAAATAAAGCCTCAAAACATCCTGGAATTCACTTCGCAATAAAGAGCCCTAAGGAACACACAATGTGTCTAGGCCTTTGGTGGTATTGCCAGTGTTTTTCCATCATCATCTCCATCACAGTCATCACTATCATCATGAACATCATCATCATTGTCATCATCAATCTACTTCAGTCGCTTTGTTCTCATCTCCTTATCTCATGATTCCAACGGTTTGCATTGTTCTCATAGAGTCTCATCCTTGCTTTACTGCTCCCACTATGGATAGTGATAGTGATAGTGAGGATGATGCGAATCTTAACCATGGTGATGACGGTAGCAATAATAATAGAGTAATAGCAACATCGATATTATCATCATGCGTTCTCGTAGCACTCGCAGCAGCCATAGGAGTGCGAGTAGCAGTAGCAGCGAGAGTGGCAGTGGCACTGACGTAGTCCGTTTCGTCGTCGCCGTCGTCGTCGTCACAGAATTTGCAGCAGTAGATTGGTCGGGAACCGGACCTTGTTGATGTCAACCAACTTCTTGCCATCGTAGTCGACGATGCTCTGACTGCAGATCTCATCGAGTGGATCGACCATGTAAAGGACCTGCCGACGGCATTATGGCCCTCGACTGGAAGATATCTAAACAGAAGGGCCAGTCCGGGTCCAGAAAGCACGGCTTGAGCTACCACTGCTTCCACCTTTGTTGGTCTCGACGTGTGCAAAGTGTACGCGATTTTCCGGCTCTCTGTGTACTCTACGGATATATCTGATATATCCATCTATCCATCTATCCATCACGGTCTGACTCATTTCTTTCTGACTGCCTCTCCTCTCTCTTCTCACGATCTGGAGCAGGGGAGATTCCAGAGTCTTCGCACTTCTCTTCGGAGGCACCACTCCGGCCCATGTCTATCTCCCCAAGATACGAGCAAAATCGCATAGGCCTCATAATCCTTCTCTCGCATCTTCTCCATTGCCGGCGCGATCTCAGCAGCTCGGCGCCCCTCGCCAGTGACAAAATAGATCCTGAGCTTTGCATACGACTTCATGACCCGAACCTATTTAAGGCACCAACCTGCTTCGAGCCCGAGTCCCCCTGCATGCAGCGGGGCAGCTTGTCTTGGCCCTCCTTCATCCTGCTGATGTACTCATCCAGGCTCGTCCTCTGGCTGAAGCAAACGACGAGAAAGAATCCCACGGATTTTGGCAGAATCCAGACTGACAACAGACAACGAGCAGCCCGAGTCAGATCAGAATAGCAACTACAATTGTCAGTAACCGCAACGACAACAGCAAATGCCTGGTGACGCTTGGCAGCACCGCGACTAAGACAAAAAAGTGATAATGAAGGAAAATGAGCATGATATTGATGATGATGATGATGACGGTGGCGATCGTGATGTTGATGGTTGTCGCGATGATCGTAAAATCGTCGCGCAGCACAAATGTCAGAAGAGCACGGAGGATAACCAAGAGACTGCCACGACAATGCCGACAACAACATTACGTACGTGTAAGAATCACGAAGAGCATGGTAGTGCCGATAAACAAGAAGACACTTACGAAACAGACACAGAGACAGTACTGAATGCACAGAGCCGAGAAAAGGAGTCGACTTCGAATCGGAGGCTTTCTTGGACACAAGCCCCGATACCCAACACGAAGTTTTCATGCAGACGACAAAGCACTGCACATCGGCAACGGCACGTGAAAAAGAGGGCATGTAGAGTCACATACGAAAGCCTTCCGGCGGCATAACGCCGCACCACACTCAACTGCATGACCAAGCAGCATAAAAGGTCATGCAAAGAGTCACGATAACAGCTGAGCTAGTATAGCAATATCAGTGCATACACTCTGCAGACTGAATCATATCGACATGTACGCTTGCAAGCTGCAGTTGGGACTTGCCGGATACTGTGCCATACGTGTTTTGTCGTGTATGAGCGTACGACCTGCTGCATGTCGCTAAAGCCCTAATCATGCATGATCATTCCACGTGTATGCAGCGTTCACAGATTGCTTCTATATGTTCGCATACCCGCTTTTGATTTACGAAGCCTCATACGTTACACAGATAAATGCATGCCGTTACATACGTACATAGATACATACATGTACAAACATTTACAACTACTGACGCATCTGAGTTTAACATGTTCCCTATGTGCTTCGGCGTGTCCTCTGCAGTGATCTGTTCAACTTCCACGTGTGCTGGCACGTAATGCTCTCGTAGATATGGTGTTTAGTGCTTTCATGCTGGCCTCCATTGCGACAGTTCCTGTGAAACTTCACAGATCTTGGCTTGTACAAGCTTCCACTCTGCTGCGGAGCAGAAGCTACCTGCAAGACATGATCAAGGTAAAGCTTCAGTGCAGGCGAAGCCCTCCAAACTAAACGTCAGACCCTAAAACCGACAACCCCGCAGCCGCGCGTACTTCGCAGCCACGGGTCTGGTTGTCTCCGCTCTTCGAAGACCAGAAGCGGACAAAGCGCTTCAGCTCGTCCTGGCAGGGCAGACACCGAGGCTGTAACGAGCCCCAAACTGTAGAGTATAGAGATGGATATGTAGATCATGTGTGGGCATATTTGCCTGGAACCGCAGTTGCTGACTTGTTCAGAGCTTGACTTGTTTCGCGCTGTTTTGAGTATCTTCCCTCAGGGAATTGGAAGGGACATGAAGCGGCAAGATGCACCACTGCGAGACTCAGGCCTGTCAGCCTACGGAACGACAGGAGCTGGCCTTGTAGTCCAGGTCCTCGACCAAGCCGACCTCATCCCAAGGACTTTGCCCTGAATCCCCCCTGCAATTGGGGTACTCTCCTAGATACTATGAGGTTGCTATACCTGTTATTATAACTATACATGTTACTGTGGTTGTGTTCTTCGCCCCCGTGGGGGTACATACTGGCAAGCCTTGAAGTACTTGCCGTAGCTGGTCCAGAAAGTCTCGAACTTCGTCGGCTCCTTCTCCTGGTCAGCAACACATGCACTCGGTAACTCGCCGCCCTGGCTCAATTCTGAGTTGGTGTGCATGTGTGTATCTACACATACATGCATACATGCATGCATGCATATACGCACATACATACATACATACATACATACATACATACATGTATGTATATATATATATGTGTGTGTGTGTTTGTGTATATATCTGCATGTATGCATTTGTATGTATGCATGTATGTCTGTATGTATGCATCTATGCATGCACCCATGCATGATTCTATGCATGTATGTATGCATGAATACACTTATACATGTACATCTGCATGTGTGTGTGTGTGTACGTGAAACACACTAATCTCCTAGAACATATAGATATGATATGTTACAAAAACTTGAACTCATGCATGTACGCACGCACAACTGTGGCACACCACCTTATTCCAGCCAGGATTTAATACGGGTCTCCCTGAGGTCGTCGATGGTGTCCAGGACCTTTCGCACCACGCGCTTGCCTTAGATGTCAATCTTTGCAGCCTGAGGCTAAAAATCAGTTCGGAACCAAAGTTTCTTCAAAGACACGGATGATCTTCAAGGTCCGGCTCTTCTGGAGGATCTCGCGGCCCACGTTGAGAGGCAGGTCCTGCCCACGGGCTCAAGAGTTTTGGGGTCTGCCGGAAACCTTTACCCTACACTGGGTGGGAAGCCAGAAGCCGTCAAGAAAGACTTGCCTCGGAGTCGACCACGCCGCGAGCAAAGGTGAGCCAGCGAGGGACCAAGTCCTTCAAGGTTTTCGGGTTTAACGTCAGTTTCCGCTCAGTCTCTGGCTACTCTGGGTCTGTAGCAAAGCAAGTGACAGTTCATGATCATGAAACCCCTGCTGCCATACACGCCACAACGCGCAGGACAAGCACACCAAGGACTTTTGAGGGGAGCCAATCAAAACAACCTTACCAAACCCAGACACATTCCAGCTGCACTCCCGGCATTGCGCACTCTCTCAGCTTTTTCGCCTTACTGGCTGTGTTTGAGACGAACCTGGTGGTGGAAGCTTCTTCAATTGAGGTTGAACCCCCTAGCGAGGGCCCGACATCCTGTGGTCCCCGACACCCAACGCTGCACCTTTTCTTTGAAGAAACTCCCACACGGAGCAACCCGGAGATTCGGCAAGCTGTTGGCCGCACACGCAGCTCAAAGAAATCCCCTCTCCAAGCACCACACTATATATACATATATATATATGTGAACCTTGTAATAACCCTACAGTCTCACCCTAGAGTAACCCTATACCAAAAGCCTGAAAGTAACCGTAAAACAACCGAATCGTAAGCTTACAGGCTACACACATGCCTGGCCGATACTTTCTCGAGGAGATCACTCAGGAAAAGAGGGCACTCTCTGGTCCTTGGTCTCACTGTACACCCGGCGACATGGGACAACAATGGTACAACACAGGTGTTTCTTGCTCTATTCAAGTAGCAGGATATCTCTGGGCCCTAGGCCCTCGAAACCCAAAACGAAGTGCCCCTCCGCCGTGGCTTGCTCTGTGCAAAGAATGGAGTACGGAGGCTCTGACTGCTATTCTCTCTCGCAGTCTTACAAATCAGGAAAGTCGAAACCCTGTACTACCATATGTCACCTTGAGCATTGGACTCTCATGACCATGTCACGGCCTGCCTCTGCCCGCCGGTTTTCAAGGCCTCGAGCTCCAGCTCCCACAAGGGACTCATGTCTCGAAGCCGCCGCACCTCCCTCACGACATCGTTGACGGTGCTATCCACCTCGGCCTCCGTGGTGAAACGACCGATTCCGAACCTCAAAGACGTATGCGCCAAGTCTTCCGACACACCGATGGCACGAAGTACATACGACGGCTCCAACGAGGCACTCGTGCAGGCGCTCCCGCTTGACACGGCCGTGGTCTTGGCCAGCGACATCAGAAGACTCTCGCCCTCAACGCAAGCAAAGGACAGGTTTACGTTGCCCGGATACCTCTGGCTGGGTGAGCCGTTGAGGGTGATCTGGGGAAGCTGATCCGTGATGGCATCGTGCATGCGAGCATACAGCTTCTCCACGTGCTTCTGGTCATTCTCCATCTCCTGCATGCAGACCTCGGCGGACGCCCCAAAGCCGACGATCGTGGGCGTGGCTAGCGTGCCACTGCGGAAGCCACGTTCCTGGCCGCCGCCGTCGATCACGGCGCGAAGCCGCACGCGCGGCTTGCGTCGGACGTACAAGGCACCAACACCCTTGGGCCCATACATCTTGTGGGCGGAGATGGACAGAAGAGCTGCATTCATCTTCTTAACATCCACAGGCACCTTCCCGACACTTTGCGCAGCATCAGTGTGGAACAGAACCTTTCTCTTCTCGCAAATCTTTCCAATTTCCTCGACGGGCTGCATGGTGCCAATCTCATTATTGATGTGCATCACCGAGACCAGCGCGGTGTCATCCCGAATGGCGTCTTCAAGTTCTTGAAGATTCACAAGCCCGTACTTGTCCACTGGAAGATAAGTAACACTCCAGCCCTTGTCCACTTCCAGCCTTCTGCAGGATGCCAACACGCACTTGTGCTCTGTCTGGGTTGTGATCATGTGCTTCTTGCCGGAGCCCTCGTAGAACTCTGCAACGCCCTTCACTGCCATGTTGTTGGACTCAGTAGCGCCGGACGTAAAGAAGATCTCCTTCGGATCGGCATTGATCAACTTGGCGATCTGCACACGGGCCTTCTCGGTGGCCTCCTCTGCATCCCATCCGTAGGAATGGCTTCGGCTGTGGGGATTACCGAAGCGACCGTGGTAGTAAGGCAGCATCGCATCCAAAACCCTGGGGTCCACGGGCGTCGTGGACTGCATGTCTAGGTAGGATGGTCCACCTCGCTCTTCATGCTCATTCCAGAGAGATCCCTTAAAGCGACGGGCTCCTACTGCTGAGCGGACAGGGATGGCCAAAGACCGCCGCAGGGCAAAGCGCAGCTGCGAAAGTGCCATGACTCCTACTTGTCCTACTTCACAATGGCCTTTGCCATCTCTGTCTCTGGGCCGAAATCTGGATCTGATCAGGAGAAAAGGCTTGGATTTTTCCTCGTCTGCAAACTTTCGGCTCGCTGAGCCGAATCACGCTTCGATGGGGTTGCAGAAAGAGTCGGTCCTCGAACTTGTCATTGATAAAGACGCGCTTCACATACAGTCGCATGGCACGGCCTTCCGGGGAGAACATGTCCCGGGTGAGTTCGAAGGGCATCGTGGACGGGATGAAGATCCTGAAGGTTCAAGACGCTGTTAAGAGCATCCAGGCAGCCACATGCAGCCACATGCAGCCACATTCACCCCAGCGTCCCCACCATTTCAGACCTAGGAACACCTGAACAGCATCTGAACGGCATTCAAAGGCTACCAATGAGTGAAGGCAAGGGACAATGCGCGGAACTCAATCTGTCCTTCGACCTGGTGCGGATTTCGACAGGGACCACCAGGCACTTCAAATGTCAGCAGCGTTGCAAACGGAAGCTCCTTTGACAATCTGATCGTGCCTTGAAGTGTGTCGTCGTGAGAGGCTCATCGAAGGCTTTGAAAGTCCTTGACACAGTGCGAAGGAGATCGTCGACAACTGCTGCTGCACAACGATTAGAACAAGTCAAAAGACAATGTTGGGTTCGTCCCGCGAGTGCTGAGCAAAATCACTGGCAACCGTGAACCGTGAATGATTGCACATACACCCAACTTACCCTAAGGTCCAAGTCGCGTTTTGTAGAATTCTGTGTACTCGGACTCGTTGACCACGTCCGGATTGCGGAGCCAGATGGGCTTCATCTTGTTCATGACATCCCATTCCTCGCAACTCAGAACGACGGCCTCATGGTTATGGCTGTTTCTCCTACGAGTAGGGCTCGGTATGAACACTCCTGAGACGAAGACCGGTTTACAGTGTATCCTGCAGATGGTGCAAGAGTCTCTTCACTTGGGCACCTCGTCTCCCCACGAGTCTTCAGCATCTACGAACCCCTCCGACTGGATTGAACGTGTCGGAACGTGCCAGGACAACACTCACAAGCAGCGCTACATCTTTAGCGACTCCAAGCCGCCGCGCTTGGCCCTTGCCTGAAGTACCGGGCTACTGCGGCTACTCCACTCGACCCTGTTTTCGCCCCCCCGGAGCCAAGAGGCATAGACAGAGCGTGGCACGCTCTTCATCTTCCTGGAGCGAGGAACTCCACTTAGGGTTCAGGACATGTCCAGCGCTTTTGAGGCTCGTGAGGTTCTTCGGGCTGGTGAAGTGTAGTGCAAAGTTTAGTCTTGGCCCACATCTCTGCCAGGCGGCTGCTTCTCACCCTCCTTGGGTGGGGGTGCCGACTCGTCCGGGACCTGGTCGTACTGGACCTTGCCGGTTGGGCACATTGGGAAAATGCTCCTGAGTCTCCAAATCTCTCCAAGAATGGGTCAGGGCTTCAAAAATGTAACACAAGCTGAAGCCTCGCAAAAGCTCATGATTTTGAGTGCGGGCCTTCTCGTTCCACAACTCGATGGGGAAGGTGATGAACTCACCTCAGATCGAAGCCCAACAACCCGGCAGCCAAACACCCAGAAGCGAAGCCTGGAAAACAGGAGGCCGTCTCTCCGAAATTGCGGGCACTTGGAGAGGTGCATTTTCTGCCTTCATGCCCTGCAGTTTCAGAGCTGAACCTTCTTTAGGTCTGCATGCGAAAGCTATCTCGCTTCATGGTGGAGTTGGGGATTTGTGATCAGTGCTCGTTTCTGGCGGACGGATTGAACTACACAGGCCGCTCTTACATGCGGAAGTTCTGAGAAACTCTCCTTGGAGCAGAGCACTACATCGTGAAAATGTACCCCACCCTCAAACCACCCGCTACACGAACCGCAGTCGAGCGGCTGTACTTCTTCAGAAGGTCCGACAGCTTGCCGGTGTCTAGGTATTCCTGCGCCTGCATCGGCAATCCCTGATCCCCGACCTTATATAGTATGAGTACTGTAGAAGCCCGGAGGTTTGAGCCGCAGAGCCTTGGTTACAGCAGGTCCCAGCAACCTGTTGTGACACAACAGCCAAGCCCAGTAAGATGGAGCCCGTAAGCCCTGTTCTGCCGAAGCTGCCCTGGACCACGACATCTCACCCAGGCACGTTAACGCTTAAGACGGGACTTCGAGCTGGGAAAGTAAAAAATCCCGGTGCAAACTCCCAGTCCTCCTCGCGCAGGTGGAGGACGATTTTTGTACCACTCCTTTCCGAAAGCTTCTAAGCATCTGCCTCGCTGCTATGAGGCATGATACGGCAAGTTCCAAAGAACGAGCATCAAACAACCTCCCAGCCTTTCCTCACACAAGCAAACACCATTACTGCTTTTGGCTTCTGATGCTTCTCGAAAGTAAGACCGAGAGGCTGCTCCCCGAAGAAGTCCCCATCGTCAATCTGCGCAGTCACTTGCAATTGGGTCTTGCCGGGCGGCTTGAAAACGCTTTGGCAGGGTTTCTAGAAAGGCATTAAGGCTTACTAAGAAGTGGCGTGGTGAAAAGATTTTGTGAGAAGCAGCTGCAGCAGCTGCTGCCTTTCGACGATTCGACAATCTGACAAAGAAGCAGCGGCAAACTCCGAGAATCGACTACCGCGGAGGCTTCCACTCGCAACAACAACGAGATCCGGGGAACAAGCAAAACGAGGTTCAAATTCCAAGGGGCCAAGGGGTGCCTCGTCCCCTCGACTTCAGATTCAGCTAGACTGAGATTTCTAAGGCCGAAGCTGAAGAAATCTGACTGCGCTGAATCTGAAGCAACACGCCGTGACTCGAAGTCCAGAACCGAGCCCCGCACCTCCGCCAGTTTGTAGGAGTGTCCCTCGGACGTCCAGCGGTGGGCCTTTCCCTCACCTAGAGACTGTAGAATTTTGGGACACAAGAGGCGGGAGTTCCGTTCAGGATGTAAGTCTAGCATTTCAGGGGGGGATGTGGCAATGAACCAGACTTTTGCCAACAGCATTGTGGCTGCGTATTGTTGTGAGACGTCTCATAAACAAGTCATACTGGCATACTGAGATACTACAATATAGACTCAAAACTGAGTACTCACACAAACACACAGACCTTCACCGAGTCAATGGGGCAACTAATTTACTTAAAATCATTCTTTCATGTCGCCTGAAGTGGATTATTGTATTGTGGCAGTAGAGCATACCACGGCAATGCAAACACACAGCAAACACATGTACGGGCTTGTGCGCTTATGCTTGTATGCATGTGTAACTGTAAGAATGCACATGCCTGTGCATTCACGTGCATATGCATGTCCGTACACAGCATGATGTATAATGTTACACCTTTGTGAGCAGTAGCATGCATAAACGTATGCCCGCATAGCATAATTCTATATGACACCAAAAAACAGAACATTCAAAAACCAGGGCCCCATGGCAGGCCGCTCTCCCGAGGCAAAGAGCCATTGTTCAGCTGAAGAGCTTGTTGGGCCGGCCAGACACAGCAACTAACCCCAACAGCACAAGCTCGGACACAGCCGATGCCTGCATCCTCTGCCACAAACTAGTGCCGACAAACTCTTTTAGGGCTTTTCACCTTGATGCAGAATTGCCTCAAAGGGCATCAACTGTTGCAGGTACCCCAATATACCCCAATGAAACTCGGCTACCTCTGACAAAGCAAGCACAGCTAGCATAGCACGACAGCCGGATCAAACACCTTCTTTCTTGACGCTCTTCGAGTAGACTTCAACCTGCCAGGTTCTGTGGACGATGCAGCAGCTTCCCATCAATCTCCGTCTTTGGGTGTTTTCGCCACTCAAGGTGCTCACTCTCGGACAATCCAGGCGAGAGGTGAAAGACCCCATTCGCCGCCTAAGGCTTGATCTACAGTGGCCCTGCGCCTTGTTTGCCACCAAGAAAGAGGAGTAGAAGCCCACACCGAACTGGCCGATCAGGCTCACGTCTGCCTGCCGAGAATTTTACGTGTCCAGCGAAACTGCTGTAAGTCATTACATAGTTGACGCAAAGCAAGCTACAAGCCGTGTTCCAAACACAACTGAGCATGTCCTGGCTTCAACTGCAACTCTCTTCTAATTCTTTTTGACCCGACCTCAGCTCCCCAGATCATGTCAAACTTCACCCAAAGCACCTAAGCCCCTAAGCCCTAAAGCCTCCGTCTCTAGAAGTCCACTTCTGGAAACTGCGATCGGCCTCGCCGCTGCCCAGGTCCTTCACGAAGTTGGCAGTCCCCGATCGCGCGATGCGGCCCAAGTTCTCTTGGAGCTCAGCCTTGTGAGAGGCGTTGGGGCCTTTGGTTGGGACGGGGCCTCCGGACTGTGGGTGTAAACCACCATCTCCCAAAACCAACGACAATCGTGACGCCGAAAACCGGGCCTTGGTCATGCCAACCCCGTTGTCCTCGATCGTGAGCGTCCGCGCATCCTCTCACAATGACTTGCTGGATTCTGCTGGTGGCTTAGATGCCCAGCGCCTGATTTGCAGCAGACAAACCCTGCTTAACGCCATGAAGTGCACAGAAACCCTCACACTCCTTGTCGGTCTTGATCTGCAGCTTCATGGGCTCTGGCGGGGCATCGCTCTCCTCGGGGCATCAAGACTTCGAGGTCTGCTCTGTCAGACCTCCAAGCAATCCATTCAAGCCAAGCGAAGCCGAAAAAATCAAAACAGAACTCTGCATCCCAGGCTGCGGTGAGGGCGAGGAAGCGTTTCTTGTCACAGGCGTCCGCGGCGTTGGAGACCAACTCACGGAGGAAGACATCCTGGCGGGGGGCGCTCTTGCTTCTCGGACAAGCCAGGCGAGGTTATTGGTGCAGAGTCGGATGAGGTGAGACTCTTCCAAGAATGCCCAATCTCCGAAAATAGCAACTACCTCTAGTAAAGGACATCTTTAGAACTTTAGAAGAGATACTTCAGCGGAGCTTTAAGGTTTCGACTCGCATACTCGCACAAGCAGGCCCGGATTCCGGCATCACCTCCAACTGCAAGCAAATTACGGCCATGAGACAAGCAATCAGAACACCAACATCCATGACATCCAAGACTAAGCATGTAAGTACCTTTTGTGGGGCCCCGAGGGCCATCCACAGAGTCGGCCAGGCACTAACATCTAAGCACCTAAAGCCATGGACCATCTTAAGGTTTCAGCACTCACACTCACCACCTCAAGGTTTGGGGTTTAGAGTTTGGTCAGCTTGGGCACATACGCAATTGACTCTACTGACGGTAAGCTCGTTCGAACTCGTTATGTTGTGTCCAGTTCCTGTGAGACGAGAATTCTGGGCTGCAATTGTGACGCAGCATCGGGATCTGGGAAAAGGATTGCAGTCCATCTCCGGCACCTCTGGCGCCAGACGTTGCACTGTCGAACTTAATCATGCCGCGCCTAGGACCAGCCAGGGTTTGAGGCCGTTCTGGCTCATAGTCCAGGCCTAAACATTCGACCAAGAAGGCTGGCGAGGCCATAGACGCTTAAGGGCAAGCTGACGCACCGTCTGAGCGCCAGCTCTCTGGGGAGGCTATATACCCACTAAGAACTGAAACAAGGTCAATTTTGGGTACATATGCAACTAAGGACAAGCTCATTTCAATCTGCTTTGCTTTGCCCGGCATTATCGTGAGACGAGAAACTGCTCTCTGGAACTGCAACTCCTCTTCGGACCCTCTTGGGCCTCTGGTTTGCATGTCTAGGATCAGCCTGCGGTTGCTCGTCTGGCTCATGAGCGGCGTTTTTAGTGGAACGTCTAGACCTCGACTATGCTCTTAGTCGAGGTCTAGGTTCCACTAAAAACGCTGCCCATCAATAGACGCTTAGGAGCAAGCTGACGCACTGCATAATTGCTTGCGTCGCACAGTTCACACAAAAGACGTAGCTGTACGATGTAATCATGAGACTGAAGATTGCTTCGGCGCCCGTCTCCATGTCAAAAATCTCTAGCACTTCCAGGTGAAATTTCCGCGGCGAACACTTTCATCTGAGGCCTTCCTCAGGCTTCCCTGATTTTCCAGTTGGTCTGCCGTACTTCTCGCGACGACGAAGGTAAGGCACCCCACGAACCTGTAGTTCCTCGCAGTCGTGTTGATGTCCAAAATCATGTCGAGCGATATGAAACAAGATGTAATTTATCGGTGCATCCATGTCGAACCAACTTCTGCTGCTCCCACTGCGCTTTGGTCAGTTTGGGCAGCTTGTGCTGCACTGCTTGGAGGCCGTCGCTTGCAGCCACACGAGCCCCTCTGACACTTTGCACAAGCAATGCTATGATGTATGCAAGCAAACACAACACCTGCAACAAGAAAAAAGGACAAGAAGATCTTATGTGCTGACACCCAGCACAGGCTTTCAGCCTGGGCGGTGTATTACTTGGGCAGCAGGGGCAGTGCTTATACGTCCTCGGAGAGCAGCATCCTTGAGCGCCAAACCTGCTCAATAGTAGTCTCTACTACACGTGACGCCAGAGGGTTTTTCAGTATCCCGTACTTCTCGCCATAAATACAGAAACCTGCTACGAGCACGAGTCCTACGAGCACAAACGAGCGCAGCATACTTGGTGAGAAAGTTTGATGGTCCAGAGCCAGAGTGTTCTGTTGGCAGGGGCAGATGCTGGCCATGTTGGGTCGACATGGGTCGACTTGGTGGGCCTCTACAGCCACGGCCGAAAACAGCCACGGCCAGCGCAGCTGCCGGGACCGCGGATGTCCGCCTCGGCCGCCGTGGGCAGCAGCTTCTTTAACTTTAACACTGGACGCACGCATGCATGGCATCGGCAGTATCTGGGAGTTCCGTCACTTTGTGACCCAAGTTCGGGCAGACACTGCTTCACGGCGCTGGCACTCAGCCCACCCAGGTTCTGCTTGATGCAGGTGCGGATATCCGCACCTGCATCCAGAAGAACCTGGGCAGTCTTCTCGTGGCCATCAAAGGCACCGCGAAGCGGCGTCCCAGCCAAGAGGCCGCCGCTCGGCTCCTTGGCATTGACGTCTGCGCCGGCGTTGGCGAGGATCTGCACGCACTTCGCGTGTCCTGGTCTGCAGCCCAATGTAGCGGAGTGCATCCTTCCCCTCATCTGTGATGTTTACATCACCTGAGCCGATTTGCTCCAAGCTGCGGCGAAAGCCGCAGCTTGGAGCAAATCGGCTCA